GCCGGGCCGGACAGCGGTTTGGCGACGGCGCGGGTCGAGGCCACGCCGGCCCACGAGGTCACGGCGTCGGCGAGCCAGTCGTTGAGGCCGCCGGGGGCGGCGTCGACGGCTGTGTGCGGGCTGTAGACGGCGATGTTGTTCTGCACCAGCCGCAGGAGGAACCGCTGCTGCGGGTCGTCCAAGGTGATGGACTTTAGGCCCCTGAAGATTGGGGGGTCTTGGGCGGTTGTGATTTAGCCTTGCTGTATGCAGGTAGCTACCGGTGGGGGTTAAGAGGGGCGGAAGGGTTCCTTACGGTAGCTGACGATGACTGTGGCTCGCTTGGCGATGGCCTCTTCTACGACGTTGGGAGTCACATCGTTTGTGAGGAGCACAAGCGGAGAAGGGGCGGATGCTGGGTCAGCTGGGGCAAAGTTCTCCAGGAGGAGACCAACGTTGTCCCAGGCCCTGTCCGCGATCTCCTCGGGGTATCTGGTGGTGGTCATTGGTCAGCAGTCTTGTCGCCTTGGCAGAGCCGCCGAGCCGTTTATTTATACAAAAGCATACATACAGTGACCTCATTGCCGAGACCACGGCTTGGGTGAAGGGGTGAGGGCGGGCAGCCATCGTGAGGACTGTCCTCGTCGGCGCGAGGTAGCTTCTTTTGGAATGCGGCTTAGATGTGATTCTCGATGAGCCCGCTGCCAGGCAAGTGAAGCGGGACGCTGGCACTCCGAGGCGGATAAACGTCGCCGCCGATCTTGCAAGACGTGGCATCCACGAGGCGCGATCAATAGATTACTCTAAGGCTCCAGATCAGCGCGTGAAGTCAAAAAATTGCAGGTACCAAAAATTCCCAGTGACTCCCCAGGCATGCATAAGTTGATTCAGCAGCGACGTTCTGCCCGGTTGCATGTTATCAAATACAGTGATTGAGTGGTCTCCCCCCGCTGCCCACAATGATTTGCCCCACTGGGAGCGCTGGAACATTTTAGACAGCCCGCTGGTGACGCCATCAGGTTTTCCATGCGGTGGACTCAATGCCGAATGGCGGGGCAATGCATCGAATCCCAGCTCAAGCGTCCCGATCGCGTCGCACCTCTGCAGCATTGATCTTATCAATCTGATAACTTCCCCCAGGTACAATGGCTGCTTCCATCACGGACGAGTCCATCAAGGCCGCCCTCACCGAGAGGCTCAAGGCGATCCATGTGGAAGTCACGGATATGTCAGGTAAGTTCACGTGCTCCCATTCATATCTTTCTCAAGCCCCGCCACCTTGACAAAGTCTCGAGATCTCGAGATGTCTCCCAATCCTCTATCCGTCTTGTGATAAAATGATAAAAATGCGCCGCTGACGTCCGAAATTCAGGGGGCTGCGGACAAGCCTTCACCACTCTGATCGTCTCGCCCGAGTTCGCGGGCAAGAACTCGCTTAAAAGGCATCGGCTGGTCAACGCGGCGCTCAAGGAGGAGATTGCGCAGATCCACGCTTGGACCGCAAAGTGCCAGACCCCAGAGGAGTGGGAGCGCGACAAGGCTGCCACTGGCGCGGCCGATGGGCCGTCCATGGAAGGCACCGAGAACGGCCAAGTGGTTGGCGTGAAGGAATGAATGAGGATGACGGAGGGCGAGTCGAGGTTTGGGGGCGCCATTTTCAGGATCTCGAGCAAGAAGACGGCAATAGGAGCTTCAGTGCCAAGTTGATAACAGGAGAGCGCTTACTATGAAAGACGACCAAGCTTCCCCAAACAACAAAAACAGGAATAAACAATAAACACGATACCCAACAATGCCGAATCCAAAGAAACTTCCCAGAGATGATACAAGGATGGACGAGAAATTCGCAGAAATGACAGCAGCCGCTCTACCATGACATAGTACAAGTCACATCAAACGTTCTCATCAGCAGATTTGATTCGCGCTTGGCCACCGAAGAACACGCGACGCCAGCCCCAGAGCCACCCTCCCCTGATGGAACCGCCCCTCGCCGCCTCGTCATCTGCAACAACAGCCGCCACCGCCGCCGGCCCGCCCCCGAGTTCCGCCTTCTTGCGCCGCCCAAACAGGAGCGGCTGCTTCTTCCCGCTCCCTCTGCCGCCGCCGCCGCCGCCGCCGTCTCCCCCTTGGACCGTCGTCGACGCCCTGGTGGCCATGCGCACGCCCTCGTCGACCCGCCCCGCCAGCGACTGCAGCTCGCGCCGGTGCCTGGTCTGCTCGTCCTCGCCCTGGAAGTAGCCCTTGAGGCTGCCGCCGAGCCGCTTGCACATCTCCATCCCGGCCTGCGTCTGCAGCACCACTATGAGGACGAAGAAGGGCACGCACACGCAGATCATGGTGGTGGCGAACCTCCAGTCCCCAGGGGAGATGTCGAAGTTTGTGATGCCGAACACGGACTAGATGATGGTTAGTAGTGTTCTTTGCTCCTTCGCAGCTATGTTTGGGGGAAAAAAAACAACCATGGGGAAAAAAAAAGACACACCGTCACAAAAGTTAGCGGTAGAAAGATCATGGACACGCTCGTCAGGATCTTGATGTTGTCACCCTGCTCGATGGCCCGGCGGCTCTCCTTCACGCTGGACCCGCTGAAGAGCTGCTCGCGCAGGCTCTTGATCTCCTTGCGCAGCACCTCGTTGCGGTGGTGCACCGCCCAGAGCTCGTGCATGGTGCGCTTCAGCTCCTCGCGCAGCGCCGCCATCTTGTCCAGGTAGTTCCTCCTCGCCTCAGCGGGGAGCCCCCCTTCCTCGTCTTCGTCGTCCCTTACGGGCGGCAGCGGCCACAGGGTGCGGTGGCGGCCCTCCCAAAAGTCCTGGTCGAACGTGTCCCCGTAGGCGGCCATCATGGACTTGATGCTGTCGTTGATGAGGGCCAGGCTGTTGTAGGCCCAGAAGTAGCGGCGGCTGTAGGTGAAGTACTTGTCCTCGAACAGCAGCTTGTCCCGCAGCTTGACCTCGAACATGAACTGGCTCGACGGCGTGATGAGCTTGGCGATCATCTCGTTGAGCAGCGCGTACCGCTTGGCCGCGTCCCGGTACTCGGCCGCGAGCGAGTCGAGGAAGGCGTAGGGCCCGCTGTAGAAGGGCTTCCTGGCGTCGCCGTCGCTGCGCATCGAGTGCTCGTTGTCGGCGAAGCTCTGCACGCTCAGCAGGTGCCACGGCGCAAAGTGCCCGAACACGTTGCCCACCCGGTAGCCGCGCCGCCGCCGCCCGCGCATGTAGATGGGGCTGACGGGCGGGCCTCCCAGGGACAGCGCCAGCACGGAGCTGCACTCGGTGATCTCGATGTGGTCGGGGGCCTTGTAGTCCTGCGGTCGCCGGTCGTACTGCTGGTACGGCGCCGGGTTGAGGCCCTCGCCCACCGCCGTGTAGTACTTGAAGACGAAGAAGAAGCTGCGCTGCCGGACCTCGGACGACTCGAAGGCCCGGTGCTGCATGTAGGCCTAGACGAAAGGATCTTTTCAGAAAATGTCCAGGAAACGTTGACAAGTGTGGCTGTTCAAAACATACCCGTGTTTTCCCCTTGTTTCCTTGCGGCGTCACCAGATGTTGGATCAGCTCGTCCATGTCAAAGTGCTCCGCCATGGTTAGGTGTGCTGTGCTGAGCATGATGGGCGACGGCTCCTGCAAGATCCTGTTGTTGCGTATTAGCTTGATACTTCTCGGGGCCACAGGGAGGGCGCGTCTGAAGACCCAAAAAAAAAAAAAAACTGCACTCACGTCATTCGACCAACAGCACCTCCTATAGAGCCTGCAGGGCTCTGATCTTGCCGGACCGTGACTGTGTTGATTTCCTAAACACAAAACGGATGAGCAAGACACGAACAAAAACACAAGAGCACGAGCCCAACGATGGACAACTATCAGGCCGGGCACACGACTCACCCTGACCGTATTCCACACCGTCTCCAGATCCAGCGCCCCGTCGCCGGCGCTCCCCCTGTCGTCGTGCTGCGGCGTGGCGACCGAGTCCTTGCCGACGTCGTAGACCTCGTACGTCGCGCTCCCGTACAGCTCGTCCTCGCGCGTGGCCAGCAGCCGGGCCTCGTCCAGCTCGGCCCTGCGCCGCCACGTCTCGTCCAGGAGCGCGATGAGCGTGCCGGCCCGCCCCTCGTCCAGGCCCTGCACGTGCCGCACCAGCTGCTCGCCCGAGAAGGACCGGCCGGGCAGCAGCGTCTGCGCCGACTCGACCTCGCCGTCCTGCGGGGAGGGGCGGCGCGGCGGCGCGGGGAGGATGGGGATGTTATGCTGCTGTTGCTGTTGTTGCTGCTGCTGCTGCTGCTGTTGCTGCTGCTTTGCTTGTCGGTGGTCGGGAAGGGGCAGCAGGGGGATGAAGTCGGTCTCCTCCTCGGCGTCCGACTCGTTGCTGTAGAGCGACACCGGGATGTGCCTGCCTCCCTGCATCACGCCCAGGTCGGTCACCGCCAAGGGAGAGTGCACCGAGAGGTGCTGGCTGTCTATGCTGAGGGTGTGCGTGATGGGCCTGAGCAGTGACGATGCGAGCGGGATCGGCACAGCGGGCATATTGGTAGCCTGGAGGGAGGGCGACCCGGGCAGCAGCACCTCTCCGCTGCCGCTGCCGCTGCCGGCTCCTCGATCCATCTCGGGCGCTGTGCAGGAAAAGAAGCTGGTTGCTCGGCGTCTACTAGTATTAGTGCCCATCTCGGGCAGGGTCGTGTGGTTGGCCGCTGCAAGAGTCTCGAGTGACCTAAGTGTTTTGAGAGACTCTTCGTGGTAGTGCTGCAGCTCACGAAGCAGCTCATCTTGCCTCTGTTGGGATGTCATGACTTCAGGAGCGGATATGAAGAAGATATGCGAGAAGGGAAGGGTTTAGAGAAAAGAGGGAAGATGGGAAATATATACACAAATATATACATAACGAGGGTGGTCTCCCGTGCAGATGGGCGACTACGCCCCCCGGAACGGCAGACCGACGACATGGGACGTGACCAGGCAGGCTGTTATTGACTTGTCGACGGGCCCATGCGGGGAAGACGGGGCTGCTGCTCAGCCGCGCGCGCCCAGCATCGGTGTCAGGTTTGGGCAACCGGCACGGGGAAAAAAACAAGCTAAAGCGCAGGAAGCTTATGGAGGGGGCGTGTGCCTCCTTTTCTTGTCCCCTCGCTTCGAATTGCAGCAGTCGGAACCACAAAACAAGCACCTGCTCAGAAACCGGGCAACCGTCGATGGACCATAACGCTCCCTTGCAGACGGCACATGACGAGGGCCACTGTGGCATTGCGTCGATTGATGATTGCAGCTTGAATTATTCTTCATCTTCAAACCCCCCACGCACCGCCACCCCTATCGCCATGGTTTACTGGTGCTTGTGGTTTGTTGTTTCGTTGCGCCAATGGCCTACGATTTCCTCTTCCCAATCGGGCACAACCACAAGTTGAAATTACTCAACGTCCAAGACTGCCATGGACGTGCACCTGGGAGATGCCTGCCCGTAATTGTCGGAATTAAACTACAAACATGGTAAGCACATTTAATTAGCTGGTTAAAAAGTTGCAATCAAATCGCGATTTTTCTCGGCGGAGGGCCCTGGAGCAGTTGGTCAAAGAAGGCGCACACTTCAAGGTGTATGAGTGAAGATGTTGCTTGTCAGTCATTGATTTCACCACGTGCCCAAAAAGCTCACTGCCCAGCCCCAGATGGGGGTGGACAGCTACGAAAACCCTCACTCGAGGATTTTTCTTCGACTTACTGTGTGGGCTTTACAACTACAAGTACTAGGCCTAACACGCTACATGAGGGCTACAGCTACAGGCGTACAACTACCTGTAGCCCTCGCAACACATCACGCTACAGCACCTACTGATGATAGCTATGTAGGTACATGTACCTTTCTATTCCCCCGGGCACCCACCACCCACCCACCCAACGGGTGCCCGCGCCCCCTGAAATCCCCTTTGCCTGTTGCTCGCCCATTTTCTTGTTCCAACCTGGACTCGAACCGTCGACTCCGGGAGGACGAGAGGGATAAGGTTCGCGGTGGCTTGGGGAAGGTTGGGAGCGGTTGGCGGTCGACTTGGGTAACGCGGTGGGGATCGGTCGGTCGGTAAAGGCCCCTCAGACGAGGCTTGTTGATATAGGTTGAGCACCGGCGGCTGCTGGGCAGGTTGCTCTGAAGGACGGGGGTGGCTTCTCTGGGACAACCCAAGGCGAGGGAGCAAAACAGCACACCCATACTAGGTCGTCACAACAAACAAGTTTGCTGAGAGAAAGCCGTTTGCATGCGCACAGGTGTCCTGATCGGGTGTCCAGAAGCCAAGGAAGGCAGGGCACGGACGGGCGAGCTTCCGACCGATGACGGACGACAGCTCTCAATCGCGTGGGGGGTTCAGACGGGCATGGAAATGATAAAATATCAATCGCCCGTCGGCTTCCAGCGGGTTAAAAAAAAAAAACAGACACAAAAGTGCAACTTCGGCACGCCAGTTTGTTGCGATTGAGTCTTCACGTGTAAAGGAGGGGAGCACAGCAGCACAGCCCCCCAGGGCAGGTGGGCACACGCATGGTCCTGCATGCGGCCGCTAGAAGCTGGGCTCGCACAGCCGTTCTGGGGGTTGCGTCAGAGCGCGCAGGCACGCATGGCCCGGAATGCACTTGACTCCACACCAGACGCTTCTTGACGGCACCCGCCGGCCTCCATCGGTGCTTGTTTTGGGTCAAGACTCAACGCATCCATCCACACCCCCCAGCCGGAGACGTGCCCCGACCGGGGAACCGCCTCGTTTTTACCTTGTTTCGTTTTTGGGGACTGGCATGACGCAAAACAGGGCTGTCGATGTCGGGGTTCTCTGGCCGCTTTCAGCTTGCTGCAGCGGCAAGGGTCGGCTGAACGTGCGGCTCGGCGTCTTCTGGAAGCCACACGCCCACGCACCCTGCCAAAGTGGACGAACACCCCTCAATGTAGGGGTCTCTCTATCCGCGGCAGCATGGGCACGTACCGAGGCAGGCAGGTAGGTACGTAGACACCTAGGCAGTGAATCAACCTATTAGACAGCACTAGACAGCACTAGACAGAAAAGTGAAGCTGGAACATGACGCACGCAAACACGTCTGATATCTATTTCCCTTAGCTCTGGTATCCATGACATTAACCCCCCTCATCCTGACCGCAATACCCTGACCGATACGCTTGCTTCACTGACAGCAGCCCTACCATGAACTCCATCTCCGCCCAAGCATTTATCCATTCCAAGGCCGTTGCCACCATCCATCGGCAACCCATTTGAGATACCAAACAAGAGAAAAGAGAGTCCGACAATTCATAAATCCTGCTTCATCCGTCGTCTAAATCGCGTTGGTGAGTGATGGCCGGCTGACTCTGACCAAATCCATGCCTTGCTAACCGAGGCTGGAGCAGGCAAACTAGGGGTGCTGTCGTGCCGAAGAAGGGGAGGGAGCCCCTCCACAGCCGCCGCCCGGATGATGCTGCGGGATTCCGTTCGAGATAGCGTCGCTTATTGTGGGGTTTAGTGAGACATGACCGTCGGCTTCGCGGCGGCTTGCGCTGGCTTGCTGTCGGTGTCAACCTCCATGGCATCGTCTGCGTCGCCCGCAGCGACCTCGCCTTCCACCTCACCCTCTAGCTCGTCCTCGATCTCGTCCTCGCTCTCGCCCTCGATATCGACGCTACCCTCCTCATCAGAGAGCTCCTCCTCGGCTGCTCCGTTCTCGGCGTTCTCCGTTTCGGCACCGGCCATCTCGGCGTCTTGGCCCGGCTCAGCGGCCGCGGCGCTACCCTCGCCGTTGGCCTCGGCGGCTGCCTCCTCCTCCTCCTCAGCCAGCTCCTCGGCGCCGTACTCCTCATCATCCGCAGCAAGATCGGCCTCGGGCTGCTCAGGCGGGAATTCGGCGGGGGCAGTGAGCTCCGAGTCCCTGTATTGGCGTCAGCTCATGCCGCACGAGGGCCATGGGGTGCGAATCGCTCGTGTGAGTGCTTCCATGTAGCGGGCTGATAACATACCACTTGATGGCGAACCGAGTCACGCGGGGCTTCTCCGAGAGGATGTTGCGGCGGACCTTCTCGATGATAGGCTTCGCTGGCGGGTCCGCGTTGAGCTCGTCCGTCTCGTACTCATGGTTGACGTAGTAGCCCACACGGACGAACTCGCGGCCGTCGTAGCGGCAGGTCAGAAGGATCACGGTGACGCCAAGGACCTCCGCATCCGGGATCCTCTTGGTGTCGGGCGGGCTTGCCTCGAAGACGAACTTGTTCACACCGACAGGGATCGGGCCCACATCGAGGCTGTCGAGCTCCTGGTCGTACTGGTCACTGTGGAGCGGAGCGTCAGAAACAAAAAAGAAGCATGGGCATTGGTAGAAGTTGCTGGTGTGCGAGAGAGTTTGACATACGAGGTGGCAGAACCGACGTAGGTGAGCTTCCATTCGAGATCTAGACGTTTCCAGGTCTTGTCAGTGTCTCATCCCTAGAATTGTGCGTGAACAAGAGGCGTGTGCGCCAAGCAAGTGTACCTTTCTCGAGAGGCTCCAGACACTCAAAGGTAATCTCGAACTGGTACGGGTCCGTGAACTTGGCGGGGTTGTTCAGGACATTGACGCCGAGCAGGGTAACGACAGACATCTTGACAATGTGGTGAGGGCGGTCGGTGGCGGGGGCCTAGGTTGTGGAGGAGAAGAGGAAAATCTCAAAAGTCGGAGTGGCACAAGGGCGCGGTAGTTTGCAGTTTGCAGCTGCGGTGTGGGAGAATCCCGTGCGATGGTTCGCCGTCTGGATATTTGAATCGCTCGAGATTGCGCCCGTCGTTGCTACGTGCGACGAGAGGGGCTGTCTTTTGGGGTAGGTGGCTCCAGCGGTTGTGGATTGGGTTGTCGGCGTCGAGATTTGGCTGGGGTTGGGACGCGTTGAGTGGTCTTAGCCAACGCGATATTTGTGTGGCCAGGGTGACTGTGTCTGCCCCGCGCCGGCGGTCTGCACGCGGGCGAGGCGGGCTTCGAGTTCTCGAACGACAAGCCGCCGCCAGCACATCCCTATCAACGACGGCCCAGACGGGCAGGCGCGAGCGTGCTTTTTGTGGGGCGCGTCTTAGGCTTGTCGCAATCAAGAGTGGCGCGTGCTCGTGGCTGGACACGCTCGCTGGCAGTGGGGCCCTGGGCAGGCGTTCCCCGTCTCCGATTCAGGCCAAGCGCAGAAAAAATAGAGCGGTCCCTGCCACTCGCTGCATGCAATCGATTCCATGTCGCCAATTGTTCGCCGCGCGGGCTGACATTTGATCCATTCCAGCAAAGCAGCAAGCACGCTGCAAGAGAGACAGCCCTCCAGTTGGTCGGCTTGTTCTTTGTGCCAGCAAACCTCGCGCGCCCGCCGCGCCGCGCCTTTCCCTAGCCTTCTCATTCATCATTTTTCTTTGAGGCGATCCCTTGACCATCACACAGCCCAGCGCAATCCGGCGACTGGTTTGCGGTCGCATTGTCGAGGTATTTAAGACCCTACCCCAATCTCCAACCAGCTAGCTCTTGTCCCAGCCTCGAGTATTCCTAACCTATCGCGACAAACTAGCCTCAACAGCTTCGACTCGATCTGCCATCCACGCCTTGGTCCTTCGTATCCAGAACTTCCCTGTCCTTTGCTCGCTCTCCCCGCGACCCATCTTTGACGTATCCGCGCAAACAGCCGCCATCATGGCGGACTACGACCCCGAAGCTCAACCTGACCTGGGCTGGAATGAAGATGGCGATGATGATGGGCCGGACGAGCCTCAGTCGGCCACGCAGGATAGCGACAGCAATGATTCAAATCAACAGCTTCAAGCTGCCTCTGTTGCCAACGGTGATTCCGAAGATGCGGCCGATTATGATCCCGAATCTGTCTCCCTCGTTGGCGCCGTCACTGGCCTTGATTCTAAGCCGTTGAAACCCTCCCCTCAGCCTGCTGGAAAGAAGCGAAAGACTGCCGGCGGCTTCCTAGTGGGAGACTCCGATGACTCTGAAAACGAGGACGCGTCTGCTCCCAGTGTCCAGCCGCCTGCTACAAAGCCGCTCCCCCAGTCACCTGTCCAAATTCACAACGGCGCCGCCCAAAAGGCACCTTCGCCCGTCCTTGCTCAACCCGCGGAGGCAGGTGCCGACCTTGATGGCCCAAAGCCGAGCCATGCCAGTGTTGTCCCTCCTATCATGTCTTATGACCCCATCCCGGCCCTTGAACTCCGGGTCAAGGAAGACCCGCGAGGAGCAATCGATGCCTGGCTGTCCCTCTTGGCCGCCTACCATCAACGCAACAACATCCAGGAGATTCGCGGTGCCTACGAGCGTTTTCTCGCTGTATTCCCTCATGCGGTAAGTGGTTCGCTAAGCACGCTTGGACTGACAATTTTCGATTGCGTACCAGTAAGCTAACCCTTCGCCACCTGCCCAGGCCGACATGTGGGTTAAATATCTAGAAATGGAACTGAACGAGGGCAACTTTGTCGAAGCCGAGGCCCTGTTTGGGAAATCCCTAATGTCGGTTCCCAACGTGCAGCTCTGGACTGTCTACCTCGACTACATCCGTCGGCGAAACGACCTGAACGACCCTAGCGGCCAGGCGCGCAAGGTGGTTACACAGGCGTACGAGTTCGTCATCGACAACGTAGGCATCGACAGGGATGCGGGGAAAATCTGGAGTGACTATATCCAGTTTATCCGCCTGGCACCGGGCACCATTGGCGGTACTGCATGGCAAGACCAGCAAAAGATGGATCAACTGCGCAAGGCGTTCCAGCGCGCTGTCTGCATGCCGATTTCTAACGTCAACTCATTGTGGAGAGAGTATGACCTGTTCGAGAAGGCCGCGAATACCACGAACTCGGCGACATCGAGGAAGTTTGTGAACGAGCGCTCTCCGGCCTATATGACCGCCAAGAGTGCCAACATGGCGCTCGACAACGTTACCAGGAATCTCGTCCGCTCCAGCTTCCCCCGTCTCCCTCCAGCTCCAGGGTTCGAAGGTGACGTCGAGTTCGCCGAACAACTAGAGATATGGCAACGCTGGATCAAGTGGGAGAAGGAAGACCGCCTGGATTTGGCAAACGACGAACCCGAGCTTCTCAAAAAACGCATTCTCTACACCTACCGTCAGGCGATCATGGCACTGCGGTTTTGCCCTGAGATATGGGTAGATGCGGCAGAGTGGTGCTTCGAGAACAGCATTGTTCTGAACGGCAAGGACGCTGGCCTGGCGTTTCTTACCGAAGGGATTGAAGCTAATTCGGAAAGCGTGCTCCTGGCTCTGAAACATGCCGACCGCATCGAGACGACGTACCCCATCGATGAAGGCGACGAGGCCAAGATCGCTCGGGGCAACGCCGTCAAAGCCCCGTACATCAAGGTCCTCGACACGCTCTACGCACAAATCAAGACGGTGAAGGAACGTGAAAAGGCCGAGATCGCCAGGATCCGGGAGAGTGCGCCACAGGCTGCCCCGGCACAGAAGTCGGAGGATGACGACGATGGCGAAGCGTCTGCCGAGAAGCCGCAGCCCGACGAGAATCAGGAGCTCATCTCTGGCATCGAGAAAGGGTTCGCCGCCCAGACGGACTTGCTCGGACGTACCGTCTCCTTCGTATGGATCGCCCTTGCCCGCGCCATGCGCCGCATCCAGGGCAAGGGGAATCAAAAGTTGGAGGCCCCGCTGGGCGGTATGCGACAAGTTTTCACCCTGGCCCGGCTACGCGGCCGTCTGTCGAGCGACGTCTACATTGCCATGGCCCAGCTGGAGTGGACGGTCTACAAGGATATCTCTTGCACCAAGATCTACGAGCGTGGTGCCAAGCTCTTTCCGGAGGACGAGCACTTCATGTTGGAGTATCTGAGGTACCTTCATGCAAAGGACGACACGACGAGTAAGCTTTGATTTCCTGCCAAGCCTTTTGCAAGGAGGCTATGGCTTCTCCCCATACTATCGTATCCGCAGGACCCTCAGCTAACTAATACCCCCAACTCCACAGATGCGCGTGTTGTGTTCGAGACCTGTGTCAACAGGCTCACGCAGAAGCCTGCCTTGGTCCACAAGGCAAAGCCTCTATACTCGTACTTCCATCAGTACTCGTCCAGATTCGGCGAGTTATCTCAGACAGCCAAGCTGGAGAAGCGAATGGCTGAGCTGTTCCCCGAGGACCCCCAGCTTGCTCATTTCACCGCGCGATTCGGAACCAACGCGCGAATCGGGACTGATGAGTTCAATCCCATCACCGCCCGCTTCATCATTTCACCCGCGGCCCAGCTACGACCCAAGCTTCTGATGCCCTCGATCGAGTCCAACCTGCCAGCCCCAGGTAGTCCCGGCGGCCCGCGACCGCTCAACAGCCCACGGCCCCAGTTTATGCAACCCACAAACTCCCCGAAGCGGCCGTTCCCTATCGACGACTTTGACGACTCCAACCCGCCTCCAAAGAAGATACAGCGTGGGGACCGTGACCGGGATCGGGAACGAGACCAACGTGATTTCCAGCGGGGCGAGTCGCCGCTCAAGGGAGCCGCTGGGCGACGGCTGGAAAACCAGCGCAGAATGCATGGACATGGTCACGGCCACGGGAACGCGGGCTCCTCATACAGCGCCCCAGCCCCTTCCATTCCACGCGATATCACTTTTCTGTTGAGCCAGCTGCCCAACGCCGAGTCTTACAATACATCCAGGCTGAACTCGGCACTGGTTATGGATATGCTTCGTGACACGCACGTACCCGACTACCCTGCGTGGAAGACCCGCCAGGAGAAAGGGCCCTCACGCCAGAACCATGGACGCCAAGTATCCACTGACTTCGCCTCACACGGGCACCACCATCAGGGCCGCGACTCCCCAAGCCTGATAGGTCGCACCAATAGCCCCTTTAGCGACGCGAGGAGACAGCTAGCCTCTGCTTCTGCTACATACCAACAACGTCCAGCGTCGCGTGATTCGTACGAACCGCCGCCGGTGCAACCGTATGCGCCACCGCCTCAGGGCTATGAAGGCGCGCCCACGGGTGCATGGCCACCACCTCCCCAACTTCCTTATGGAGCAACGGCACCTGCACACGGCTACGGGGCTCCGCCACAGCAGTTGTACCAGCAGCCCGCCCCTCAGCAATCCTCTCAGCCACCCTATGGAAGTTACCGATACTAGATATGCGGGTAGCAGCATGCGGGCATCACATCCCGATCACCCTCCCATACCTTCTCACCCATCTCTATCATAATCACCGGGCGCCCCATGCCTTAGAAGATCACGTTTCGTATTTCACAATTTTGTAACACTATTCGGAGCATTTACCCAGTTCCCCTCTTCCATCACCTCTCACGGTGGTCACAAAACGTCGCACGTTTAGTCACCCAAGTCACCCTGGGTGGTTCGGTAGACCAAAGCACCACGAGAGACAAGCAGACAGTTGAATACAGTCTTCATTTCATCATCCGAGTCTACCTACTGGGGTCCCCCTTCCGGACCTGGCTTTATCTCTCGCACAAGTGAACTGTTCTAGCCTGAGGGTTCTCTGAACATCGGCAGGTGAAAAAAACTTCTCTCGTAAGCCTCGATATAGACACGCAGGTGATGCATGATATCCGCAGCTCGACCACTCGAGAGTCAACCCATGTCAGATATGTAATTACGAAGCCCTAAGGAGGTTGTAGGAGGTCATCTAGGCAGCTCATAGGCCCCAGAGCATCAAATCAAGGTATCTACATCTCAGCGCATACTGCCACCTGGCCGTGCTAGTAGGGCGGATGGTCGCTGAGGTGTTTCTCTCAGGCTGATCTCGCTACTTCACGTGTCCGTTATGACTCTTCTTTTCCCTTTACCGTTTTAGCGGCTTTTTTTCGCTGCAAGCTTTTTCCCGATCACCCGTACGCTCGTTTGATAAAGTACCCATAGCATCTCCCCAGGTTAGCTCTATGGCGCCCTGTCTTGGCCTCCCGCTTTTGGTGCTCCAGGCTGGAGATCTAGTCTCTATATTCACCAACCATAAGTTTTTAGCTACTTCGCCAAGTCTTGCCGGGGGGGCCGGCTAGGGCGTGCGCGGGTAGGAGGTATGCATGTATCCGGAGCTGGGGGTAAATGCCTTCGGCCCTGATGGCGGGTGTGCGTCGCCATCCCGTTTGCTCGCTCCGAGCACTGGTGTCTGGATTGTCATGCCAAGCTTTGTACTTCTTTTTGACTCCTTATGCGCCCGGGCTTGCATCTGGAAGTATTCTCCTTCCACTCGTGGTGCCCGAACATACCGCTTCTCCAGTTGCCTCTGCGCACCGGTGTTCTGTAGACATAGGACATCTGAAATTTGCCACCTCGGGTATCGGCAGCTTGCAAGTGTGTGATATGTGGTGGGGAGATGCATCGACGCCCAACCCGCCTGCAAGTCGTCCTGGGATCGTCCTGAGGCCGTTTGCTCGTCGTGGTACATGCAAGTATCCAGATGCCTGTCGAGCGCCAGCCAGAAAAGATGTTGGGAGTGTGGGTTTGGATGCCCCCATCGCATGTCTCCCCGTAGGCCCAGTCTCTACAAGAACGAGGGTCGTAGACATGCCAACACCTGATAGTCCTAGCCAGAGCTAGTCAGCCTTGCCGGCTACAGGCAGCCGCGCCCCTTATTCCTGCTAGGTGCGTCCGAGCTTCGCTCCGACATCGCTTAGCGACAAAAAGTGACGGCACGCTGCTCCCGCCGTCTCCCTGACTCTAACAAACGCCGAGCCATTTTGACACGCGAAGACGCGGCAGCCACATTACTCCCCATCTGCAGCCTATGGCCGTTCGCCGACTGTATCTGCGGTCGCCGGGTCCCTGCCATCACATGGTGTCTGCACCTTCCCTTCACGGTCTTGACCACCCTCTCTGGGCCGCTCCTGCCGTTTCGGTGTCGCAGCCTCCCACGCCAGGCACTGCCCAACCTACGTCATCGCCAACCGTCCCCTCCCCGCCCTGCCGGTTGCCGGGCCTAGAGTTGCATGCTGGCTCCAAAGTGATTTCCCCGGCGGCTGCTCTATCTCTCGCCCTCCCTCCCGCTTCTCATCCGCAAAGTTTTTCTCCTCCTTCCACACCCGCACACGCTCCTCCAAAAGAACGAGCACGTACGCCCTCTCCTCCCATACACCTACAGAGAACACACGTCGATAGTTTAGACTGAGTCGCGCAGTCTGCTATCGTCGAGTATCTTTACGGAGTGTGAGACCTTAACGTAAGTCACAGATTTCCTTACTGCGCCTGCTTCGGTGCCGTTCCTTGACAAACGCTACATGTTTCCGTCGTGATATCTCTCCCGTTGCGTCCTTCTCCAGCTTCCTACTCCAGCTCCAGCACACTGCGTCCGGCCTACGGATACTTGTATCTTGGCTCAGCAGAAAGAGCCCGTCAGCTAGCCCAGATATCACATATATCTCCCCTCCCCAGATATCCGATCACACCGTCTTCTTACCGACCAACGCCCCCAGATATCCCAACATCTACCCACCACCTGCCCACGCCTCCAGATATCCCAACATCTACAACTTCCCAACCTACTGCCTACAGACCCACAACTCTTTGCCTATTTAACCCTTCTCTTCTTGACCCCTACACCAACTCCAACCCGAACCTTGACACAACCGCAACCGCCCCTCTGTTTCTCCCAGCTACCTCCGTGCCTAGGTACGTCCCTAACACAACATCAACGGCTTCTTCACCAAGAACTGCAAGTACCAGTCTTCTCTCTGCACTATCCCGCGGCCCTTGAACCGCATACGTCTTCTGGCCTTCTGTGTCCTCACTGCCAATCTTTCTCATCTTGCCAACTCGCGAGGGCGGCAGCTGACGTTTCGACAACTATTTCGCCAGGCCACCAACTTTGACCGAGAAAGATTCAAGGTAAGCCGGAATCTCGACTCTAGTGTTGGTATCATTTTGTCTACAAGCTCTCTTCTTGAAATCCTACTGCTCCTGTCTTCAGCCCCAACTACGTCTCGACGCAAATCGCACTCCACTGGTTCCTACCCCTCAGCTTTCAAAGCGTCCCTTCTCCCCAGCCCACCTGGCCTCTCAAATCGCCACTTTTTCCTTCGACTTCACAGCTTATTCAGTATCAGCCACGTACCTACCCACACGAGGTCCTTGTCGCTGCTACATCATTGCCTATCTCCCGCACTCCACCATCTTAATATCCCATCATATGCGCCCATCCTTCACGCCCGTCTTCTACCTGGAGATTTTGAGCTGTACTCCCCACATTTTCACTCATCGAGATCCCGCATATCATCTCCTCCGCAGCTTTCCTTCCGGTAAGCCCACCTTGCTAGGTAGTTCATGAGCTCGACAGCTGGATCCCAGATCCGGTTTTTTACATCTCGATCAAGAGTCACGCATCACAATCCCGAGCTCTCCAGCTCAGTCACAATCATCATCGCTCCTAAGTCACCGCTCGCTAGAGTTTGCAAGACTTAGTTCTGAAAAGCAAGCGCAAACTAGAGTCTTTCAACCATTTTCTTGCCACTGCCGAGAACATAAATTCACGCCTTATCCTCCCTTCCCTCGTTCCTCCCTTCCCTCGTTCCTCCCTTCCCTCGTTCCTTCTTTTCTCTCACACCTCCCAAAACCCCCTCCACTCTGGGTCATCTTTCTCCCACCCACGAGAGACTCGCGACCACTTCTCGCACTCCCACCTTCGGAACACTCTCATCCAGCTTATCTTGCAAACGCCAAGCTAGTAGCTGATCCGAGGCCAGCCAGCACTAACACATTCCCGACACCTTCCAACTCAGCTCCAACAGCCACGCTTCACACAGAAGCAGCAAATCCCGCACAGTCACCTCATCAACTTGAACTCCCAAGGTAAGTTAGATATCATCCGCAAATCCGCATTCTTGCGCAATCTGCAGCGCAACCTCGACACATATTTCTGCAGAACATCCGTTGGGTATATCTGTCTCAGACTGTGTTCTACACCTGTTTTCTCCCCTCTGTCCTTAAGCACACCATCCTCTTATCTACTTCAACGTGGGTTAGACTGACCATCGATCGTCTTAGCTCGAGCAACATGGCTGGAAACGGCGGCAACCACCTTCAGGTGCCCAACTTCAACATGGACGGCCCTGGAGATGACCAGGGCTCGCACCGCCGCAGCTCGTCAATCCAGTCCAACACTGGATCTGCTCATAGCGCCAAGTCGGGAGGCAGCTCCCATTCGCGTCCCCCGAGTGAGGGCGGCAAGTCTCATGGCTCAAAGGCTCCTAGTGACGCCGGAAAGTCTCGCCCCCCTAGTGAGGGCGGAGGCAGTAACCGCCCTGCTCCAGCCTCGGGCTGGACCAACGCCGACCCTGCTGTCGGCCATGACCCGGCTCGGGAGCGCGATCCCATGAAGGACCACTTCCTTGTTAGCAACAAGCAGTGGAATAAAAACCTCGATCTGCCCGCTGAGGCCTATGTCGAGAAGCTGAAGACGCCCTACCCCCGCCGTCCCGGTATGGGCAACATGGGAAAGAAGATCAACGTCTGTGTGAACTTCTTCCCTGTCCAGGCCATCTCGAACAAGGATGTCTTCCTTTACGACGTAAGTAGCCTCTTCTACTCCATCGCAGTTGATGAAGTTGCTCCGATGGACATCAGAATACATGCTTACGCTCTCTCCTTGTCTAGATCTCTGCCGGCGCCTCCATCAAGCCGGAGATCGTCGCTCGCAAGTGCTTCAACTCGCCGACAATCAAGAAGATGCTTGACCAGGTCAAGGCCCCCATCATCTACGACGGTCGCCACCTGGCTTGGTCGTCTGTTAGCAGCATCGACATCAAGAAGCAACTTGATCTGGACGCCGAGTACGGCCGTGGAGGCGGTGGTGACAAGAGGAACTGCTTCATGTTCACCATGAGGCAGGTTGGCAGGATCCGCATGGAGGCCCTGCAGCACTACCTCCAGGGAAAGCTGGAGTGGGACAATTCGGTCCTCGAGTGCTTGAACTTCCTTGACCATGTCATGCGCCAGGGACCTTCGGAGAAGATGTTGGCCATCAAGCGCAACTTCTACTCCAAGACTGCCAACCCCACCCCCATGGGCGATGCCATCGTCGAGATGCTCAAGGGAACATTTGCTTCCATCCGCATGTCGCAGTCGATCCAGGAGGGCCGCCTGGGTCTCGGAGTCAACGTCGACGTGGCCAACACGTGCTTCTGGCAGTCGCAGGGCTTCGAGGATCTCGTTCGCAACTTCATCGGTACTGTTGACCGTCGCTGGTCCAATCAGACCATGATGCGCCTGCCCGACCTCTTCGAGCCGGTGGCCGACAGCAAAGGTGCTCTGATGCCGTCCGAGGCCTTCCGCGCTCTGCGCAAGCTGCACAAGATTCGATTCTTCGTCGGCCATCGCGGCAAGATGACGGACCAGAAGTCATACTGCGTCAAGCGCTTTGTCTTTGACCCGACCTGTGGACCCTCGGGCGCCAACGCCAAGACCTACAAGTTCACCAAGAAGACTGGCGAGACCATCAGCATCTTCGATCATTTCGTCAAGCAGTACAACTGCCGCCTCCAGAACTGGCGTCTCCCGCTCATCGAGACGACCCGCGCAGGCATCTTCCCCCTGGAGGTCTGCACCATGGAGCTCTTCCAGCGGTATCCCTTCAAGCTGGACCCCGATCAGACGTCCAAGATGATCAAGTTCGCTGTGACTCGCCCCAAGGAGCGTGGCCAAGACATCATGAAGAACGTCAACGAGCTTGGTTGGGCCAACGACCGCTGGCTCAACGCCTTTGGCATCAAGATCTCGCCGCAGATGGCGTCGGTGCCTGCCCGTGTCATCCCCAACCCGGAGATGCAGTACCAGGGCAGCACCATCAACCCTGGCGTCGCCGGTCGCTGGGACTTGCGTGGCAAGGTCTTCTCTGAGGGGAACAAGGCCATGCCCCTCCAGTCGTACGGAGTGGTCGTCATCGACAACTGCGTCGACAAGGCCTCTATCGAGACCTTCATGGCTTCGTTTATACGCATCTTCAAGGGCCACGGTGGCCAGGTGAACACGGCCAGGAAGCCCGTCTTCTTGAGCTACCCCTCAACCAACACGACCCTCGGCAACATTGTCGAGCAGGCGTACCAGGCTACGGGCAATGCCAACAAGATGCACCCCCAGATGCTGTTCTTCATCCTGCGGGACAAGTCAATCATCAACTACGAGCGCATCAAGAAGTCGGCCGACTGCCGCTACGGCCTAGTCTCTCAGTGCCTGCAGGCCGTTCATGTCAGGAAGAACCAGCAGCAATACTGCTCGAACGTGGCCATGAAGGTCAACGCCAAGCTGGGTGGACAGACATGCAAGCTGAAGGGGGTTTCCTTCAGCAAGCCCACCATGATGATTGGTGTGGACGTCTCCCATGCCAGCCCAGGCTCGTTTCAGTCATCGATGGCAGCTATTACCGTATCGATGGACAAGGAAACTGCTCGGTACGCCGCGGCCGTCGAGACCAACGGCCACCGTGTTGAAGTCCTCCTTCCGGCGAACGTCCAGAGCATGCTCCGCCCTCTGATCACGCGCTGGTGCAAGATGCACAGGACGACCCCCCAGGACATCTTCTACTTCCGCGACGGTGTCTCGGATGGCATGTTCTCCCAAGTCCTGGAGCTCGAGGTGGAGGAGGTACGCAAGATTGTACAGAGCTTTGGTGGCCCCAGCCCCCGGATCACGGTCATTGTGGCGACCAAGCGTCACCACATCCGTTTCTTCCCTCGCGAGAACGGCGCGGGCGACCGCAACGGCAATCCTCTTCCGGGCACCGTGGTTGAGCGGGAGGTCACCCACCCGTTCCACTACGATTTCTATCTCTGCTCGCACGTGGCCATCCAGGGCACTGCTCGTCCTGTGCACTACCACGTCATCCACGACGAGGTCAAGATGTCGCCGGACGAGCTGCAAAAGATGATCTACCAGCAATGCTACCAGTACGCGCGCTCGACAACGCCGGTTTCGCTCCACCCGGCAGTTTACTATGCTCATCTCGCTAGCAATCGAGGCCGCAGCCATGAGAACGCGAACTCGTCGCAGAAGGACCCAAAGACACGCAAGGAGCCTGGCGTGTTTGCCAAGGGTGAGGACGAGGAGAGCATGCATGGTCGCCGCATGGAGTCGGTTCCGCTGCTCCCTATCGGCACCAGCGGCGCCAATCCCCAGAACATCGAGCATTTCAAGGGTACCATGTGGTTCATCTAGATATCTCGACCGCCACTCTTCACTCACGTTATGTGTTCATCGCTTCCGGCCCCATCTTGGGTCGTTTCACTCGGAACCCGCATGAGCAGGAACATGGTTAGCAGAGGTATTGGGCTAGGCAATGGGTTGCCATATTCTTCACATCGTCAACTCGTCGATCTTGGGGCATCCAATTCTATCAGTGGATCCTAGGCATAGGACATCCACGTATCCAACGAACTGGGAAGTCACTCATTTCAATTTTTTTGGTAGGGCTAAGCTCCAGATGCCTAGGTAGTTCAATCAAATGCTCCAGGGGCTCATCCTATAATGCTAGCGATGACTTGTGACGATGCGCAAAGTGCCAGTGTGATCTTTTGTTCGTTCCCCATCATATCCTCCCGTATCGCTTCCTATCACCTGTTACTTGAACGTCAATTCTCACCCCCACTTGATTTTCCTCGCCTCGTCTGCGTTCTCTGCACGGCAAGTATAGGCCCCACCACCTATGTGGCGGCGGCACCGACCCCCAAGTCCCCCCCTGCTCGGCGTTCGCAGTATGCCCATGGACATGTGATATATGTACACGCCCCCTCCTCGCCGCGTGCGCCTGGTCTGGTGTGGCGTTTAATTTGTATGTATGTGTGTGTGTGTGTGTGTGTGTGTGTGTGTGTGTG